ACTCCTCTCGATGTGGAGGAGAACCGGCTCTACACTGAGCCTCTCCCGAATGACAGAGCTCCTCACCCTATCTCTAAGGGAGAGCCCAGCCACCCTGCGGAGAAAGCTCATTTCAGCCGCTTGTATCCGGGATCTCGTTCTTTCGGTCATGATCTAGATTTCATGACCATAGGTGAGGGTAGGAACGTAGACCGACCGGTAAATTGAGAGCTTTGCCTTTTCGCTCAGCTCTCTCTTCACCACGACAGACCGGTGCAGCGTCTGCATTATTGCAGCAGCCGCACCGATCCGTCTATCGATCTCCCGCTCCATTCTTCCCTCACTCGTGAACAGGACCCCAAGATACTTGAACTCCTCCACTTGAGGCAGGGACTCTCCTCCAAACTGAAGGGGACAAGCCACCTTTTTCCAGTCGAGAACCATAGCCTCGGACTTGGAGGAGCTGATTCTCATCCCGGCCGCTTCACACTCGGCTGCGAACCGCCCCAGCGCATGCTGTAGGTCTTGGCAGGAGGGAGCCAGCAGAACTACGTCATCCGCAAAAAGCAGGGACGAGATCCGCTGGTCCACAAACCAGACCCCTCCGGTCCTTGGCTGCACCTAGAAATCCTGTACATAAAAGTTATGAACAGGACCGGTGACAGAGGGCAGCCCTGTCGGAGTCCAACATGTACTGGGAACAGGTCCGACTTAATGCCAGCAATGCAAACCAGACTCCTGCTCTGCTTGTACAGAGAATGGATGGCCCCTAATAAAGGGCCCCCGACTGCATACTCCTGGAGCACCCCCCACAGGGCAGCACGAGGGACACGGTCGAATGCCTTCTCCAAGTCCACAAAACACATGTGGACTGGTTGGGCAAACTCCCAAGAACCCTCAAGCACCCTGCAGAGGGTGTAGAGCTGGTCCACTGTTCCACGGCCAGGAAGAAAACCACACTGCTCCTCCTGCAGCCGAGGTTTGACAATCAGCCGGACTCTCCTCTCCAGCACCCTGGCATATGCCTTTCCGGGGAGGCTGAGAAGTATGATTCCCCGATAGTTGGTACACACCCTCCGGTCCCCCTTCTTATGGAGGGGAACCACCACCCCAGTCTGCCAATCCAGGGGGACTGTCCCTGACCTCCACGTGATGTTGAAGAGACGTGTCTACCATGACAACCCGACAACATCCAGAGCTTTAAGATACTCAGGACGGATCTCGTCCACCCCCGAAGCCTTGCCACCTCCTTCAGCCTCACAGCATCCCTTACTATCGGTGTCAACCACCGGGTTCGGGGATTGCCACCACGACAGGCACCGCAAACCTTACGGCCACAGCTACAGGCAGCCGCATCAACAATAGAGGCAGAGAACACATCCCATTCGGACTCCATGTCTCCAACCTCCCTCGGCACCTGAGAGAAGCTCTCCCGGAGGTGGGAGTTGAACACGTCCCTGACCGAGGGTTCCACCGGATGTTCCCAGCAGACCCTCACTACACGTTTGGGCCTGCAGTGTCTTTCAGGCTTCCTCCTCTTCCAGTGTATCCAGCTCACCACCAGGTTGTGGTCGGTGGACAGCTCCGCCCCTCTCTTCACCCGAGCGTCCAAGACATGCGGCCGAAGATCAGAAGATACAACTACAAAGTCGATCATCGACCTTCGGCCTAGGGTGCCTGGTGCCAGGTGCACCGATGGACATCCTTATGCCTGAACATGGTGTTCATTATGGACAATCCGTGATTTGCACAGAAGTCCAATAATGAGACACCACTCGGGTTCAGAGCTGGGGGCCCGTTCCTCCCGATCACGCCCCTCCAGGTGACACTGTTGTTTCCCACATGGGCATTGAAGTCTTCCAGTAGAATGATGGAATCCCCGGGAGGGGCGCTTTCTAACACCTTCCCCAAGGATGCTAAGAAGGCCTGGTACTCTGTACTGTCGTTCGGCCCATAGGCTGAAACAACTGTCAGAGTCCTCCCTTCAACCCGAAGGCGAAGGGATGCGACCCTCTCATCTACCGGGGTGAACTCCAACACAAGACGGCTGAGCTGGGGGGAGACAAGCAGCCCCACCCCCACCCTCCGCCTCTCCCCGCGGGTCACTCCAGAGAGTCCAGCCTCTCTCAAGGAGCTGGGTTCCAGAGCCCTGACTGTGCATAGAGGCGTGCCCAACTATTTCTAGCCAGTATCGCTCCACCTCCCGCACAACCCCGGCTCCTTCCCTGCCAGTGAGGTGACATTCCACGTCCCCAGAGCCAGTTTGAGCACCCGCGGATCAGGTTGCCAAGGTCTCCGCCTCTGGCTGCCGCCCAATCCTCTATGCACCGGTTCCTCTGCTCCACTCTCCCCACACTCACACAATACGTTACATGCTCAACCAGGAACAATAAAACGCTGGACCTTTTTTATGCAAATGTGAAGGATGCATACACCTCCGCCCCTCTCTGGGACGTTCAGATCACAACCTGGTCTACCTGCCCCCCCATTTCATCCCACTGGTGAGAAGGACAATAGCAAAGAAGAAGTCAGTGAAAGTTTGGTCGGATAACGCCACTGAGGAGCTGAGGGATTGTTTCAGCACCACAGACTGGAGCATGTTCCAAAGCTCTCATGGTGAGGACATCAACAGCCTGACTGAATACATCACTGACTACATGACCTTCTGTGTAGAGAGCATTGTGCCTACACGACGGCTACGATGTTTTCCAAACAACCCTCCCTGGCTGACCCCTGAGCTGAAAGTCCTCTTGAACCGGAAGAAACAGGCTTTCTACTCAGGTGATAAAGCAGAGCAGCGTAGAGCTCAGCGGGAGCTCCAGTGGAGGATCGGGGGCAAAGAAGGACACCAGGTTTGCAGATGAGTTAAACAGCTTCTTCACGCGGTTTGACTCCCCTCACACTGGTCCCCTCCCTGCCCTCAACTCTCCACACACCTCCAACCACCAGTCCCCCAGAGACCTTTCCCCCCGACCGCCGCCACTCCCACCAACCCCCGACCCATTCACACCTCCAGTCGTGCCTTCCTCCCCCCTCACAGTAACACCAATTCAGGTGAGAGGGCAGCTGAGGAGGCTGAAACAGGACCAGACGGCCTCCCCCCTAGGCTGCTGAGGACCTGCGCAGATGAGCTCTGTCAGGTCCTCAGCTACATATACAACCTGAGCCTCAGCCTGGGGGTGGTCCCCACCCTGTGGAAGATCTCCTGTGTGGTTCCGGTTCCCAAAACACCACTAGCCAGGGATCCGGCCCACTTCAGACCAGTCACCCTGACCTCTCACCTGATGAAGACCATGGAGCGCCTCGTCCTCGCCCACCTCCGCACCGTGGTGAGCTCCACCCTGGACCCGCTGCAATTCGCCTACCGGCCCAACATCGGATTGGATGACGCCATCATCTACCTGCTGCAGCAGGCGCTCACCCACATGGAGACCAATGGGAACGCTGTGAGAGTCATGTTCTTTGACTTCTCCAGCGCTTTCAACACCATCAGACCGGTGCTGCTGAGGGGGAAGCTGGAGGATGCTGGGGTGGACAAGCACCTAGTAGACTGAACCACCAACTACCTCACTGACCGTCCTCAGTACGTACGGCTGCCCGGCTGCCAGTCAGAGGTGGCACTCTGCAGCACCGGGGCCCCCCAGGGCACTGTCCTGTCTCCTTTTCTTTTCATCCTCTACACCTCGGACTTCACCTACAACACGGACAGCTGCCACGTCCAGAAGTTGTCCGATGACTCGGCCATTGTGGGCTGTGTGTCTGAGGGGAACGAGCTGGAATACCAGTCTGTCATCATGGAATTTGTGGACTGGTGTGAGAGAAACCATCTGTCTGAACACCAGTAAGACCAAGGAGATGGTGATCGACTTCAGGAGAAGACCATCACCCCACCCCCCCGTGAACATCCAGGGACAGGACATAGAAACTGTGGAGAGCTTCAAATACCTGGGTGTTCACGTCAACAATAAACTGGACTGGACTCATAACACTGACGCTCTGTATAAAAAGGGCCAGAGCCGCCTCCACCCCCTGAGGAGGCTGATGGCCTTTGAAGTCAGCAGGCCCCTCCTTAAAACCTTCTATGACTCTGTGGTGGCCTCAGCCCTCCTCTACGCTGTCATCTGCTGGGCCCCTGGCAGCTCAGAGCGGGAAAGAAAGAGACTGAATAAGCTGGTGAGAAAGGCCACTTCTGTCCTGGGCTGCCCTCTGGACTCGGTGGAGGAAGTAGCTGAGAGGAGGATGCTGTCCAAACTCACATCCATCATGGACAACACCTCTCATCCCCTGCACCAGTCTGTAGAGGAGCTGAGCAGCTCCTTTACTCAGAGACTTAGACACCCTGTCTGTAAGAAGGAGCGCTACCGCAGGTCATTCATTCCTGCTGCCACCAGACTCTATAATAATGCACTATAACCAAAATAACTCCTGTAACAACCACTGTGCAGCTACATTATAGTTTTTATTTATTTATTGACTGTGCAATATCCTGTGCAATATGCTGAATGGGCAATATTTCTCCACCTGTATATAAGCCATCCGGATTGTACATATTTTTACTTCTTTTTTTTTTTTATTTCTTATTTTTATCTTGTTTTTCATTGTGTGCGATACATGTACACTTGCGCCTTAATCCTATTTATCGTGATATACTGTATATACCTGGATATACGGTATATATATTGCTTATTCTTAATGCACCTTTTTCCTCCCTGTTTGCACCTTCTGTAACTTCTATGCCAACATGTGACGAGTGAATTTCTCCGCTGTGAGATCAATAAAGCTCATCTAATCTAATCTAATTGAATACATATACATGTTAGAGTGATATTTAAAGGATTTTTCCCGAGTGATCTTATCTGAATTTAGTCTTGCTGCCTGTCAAACTTAAACCTTGGGTGTTGGCATAGTGTCAAACTAGACTGGTTTTCATACTGTTTTACATAAAGAGGAAGGGTAATTAGAATAGGACATCTCCCTGTAGAAATGAAGACTGAGAACTGGAAACAATGCACAGACCCATTTGTCAGGCTTAAGCTCTTAAGCCATCACACTAGGGTCTTCCTTTTACCAGGCTCTGACTTATATTTTCAATTCTACTGCTTCTATATACTTTAAGATTTATCTTTGTTGTCACTTTTTCAATATAAAATTATCTTTAAAAGCCTTGAAAGTCATGAAAAGCATTATTACACTAATGCTTCTTTCAGGTAAGCTTCCATCTAAGCAGTGTTTTTTTATTAATCAAAATTGTTGATTTTTTTTATGTGTGTACTTTTATGATTCTTAATTGAGAAAAGAAATGTTTTATTGTTTTGCAGAACTATGTTCTGTGTGTATGAACACCAATATGTCTTTTACAACACTCCTAAAACCTGGGTTGAGGCACAGAGCTACTGCAGAGAATCGTGCATCGACCTGGCCACAATTGATGACATGAATGAGATGGAAAGGGTCCTGAAAACTGTTGGAAACGACTACAGTGATGCGGTGTGGAATCGGCTGCATTTGGGCAGCACACAAAGGTGGCATTGGTCTCTTGCAGGAAAGGAATTCTACAAGGAGGGAGAACGAAATTACATAAAATGGACCATAACACATGACTATCCCTGTGGACATTACTACAAAGGAACACTGAATAGGTCATGGTTTCAAACCTTAAGGTACCCATTCTGCTTCGACAGTAAGTAATTCCAACTATATTTGTGTCTTTAAAAATCTTTTAAGAATTAAGAATTAATCAAGAATTAAGACTAAAATATTATTTATATGTGCAATAAACATCCTTAGAGCAGACTACAAGAAGAACACCCTCCTCACTAGAAAGCTACAAAGTATTAGATATAAAAACACTAAAACAAAGAAAAATAGAAAACTCTTGTAGATGGAATTAACCAGAAACAACATGGATCATAAAAGTAAAAATATCAACTAAGGCTGCAACAACGAATCGATAAAATCAATAAAAATCAACTTTTAAAAGCGTTGGCAACGAATTTCATCATTGATTAGTTGAGTCGCGCGATTAATGCGTCATCCGCTGCCGCCGTCATCACTGCCACTTGACTGAAGCGGGGGAAGAAAAAAAAAATACGGCAGAGCGAGCCAGCGCCGCAGGTGAGCAAAGGCTGTTTTCAAAAGGCAGTAACGTCAACTGTTCTAATGACCGATACCGCAAACGCAAGCTGCGTCTCAATTCGCAGACAGCCTGTTCTTTGTAAAGCGAAAAAAGTCGTAACATGCAGCTTTTGTAAAAACAAATTATCATGGCACGGAAGCACCTGAAAAGGAAACACATTGGAGCCTTTGATGGCAGTGAAGAGAGCTGATCAGCAGGGTGAGCGACCATGTTTGTTTCGTTTTAAAGTGGAGAAATGTAACGTTAGATTCTCAGGTAGCTCATCTGATGCTTTCCTTACCGTGTTAGTAGGTTACAGACAGTGATAATGTTGGCTACTTATTTTACTTTTAATTTCATTTGAATTAGCTTAAAGCAGCGTTTATATTTTCTTTATAAATAAATTAACTTGCAAATTATGAGGGCAAGGCTTTTAAAGTTTAAATCTTCTGGCAAAGATAAAGTAAAGAAGATCCTGCAATTTATGGAAGTAAAGCAGAATAAAATCCAGCAAGATCAGTAATATGTCAATTAATTATATGCCACATTCCCATGTAAATATCTGTCTTTGGAGGATGTGTTTTTTAGCACCCCTAGTTCTCTCATTTTTATTCCAAATACAATTTATAATTTGCCAATTGATCGATTTTTAAAATAATCGTTAGTTGTAGCCCTAATATCAACAAAGAAACCAGGAACCTAATCAGCAGTAGTAACAGGAACCTCTGAGGAAGAGAGATTCGGTTTGTGGCTGAGTTGGATCTCAATGAAAAATGAGGAAGCAAAAATAAAGCCACCAACTTTCTCAGAATCTTTGTTGGATTGAGGACGCTGAAATGCAGTGTTCAGAACATGGTTGGTTCAATGGTGATGTTACTGCTGGCTTGAACAGCTTTGATAGAGTGCATACTGCTCACAAGAAAATACTGGGACTGAGGGACAATCAAGAACTCAGAGACAGTCCCAAGATAAACCACAGGCGTAACTTTCTGAAGGACTGGTGGGGACATGTCCCCACCAATAACTTCAATACATAGATTTTGGCTCTCAGCAATATGTGGGACAATTTTATAAATTTTATTTTGCCACTTTTGATGGAGGATAATCACTGAAGTAGCTGAAAGGGAAAACATCAATCAATCAATCCACATTTTTCCTGACGGGTGAATGAAACTGAAATTGTGCGCTTACTACGGAGGCATGATATATTGCTGCTGGCATCAGAACCGGCTGTTATTAATTCTTTTTTTGATACATTAATGTCTAACTACCCATACATATCAGTGTATTATGGTTCTTTTGTGTTCTGAACAATAGGAAATCATTCAATAAATATATGTTTGAGTTCAGTTTTAGAAAATACAAACCCTATTGAAAGCGTTTATGTTGAGTAAAGGCTCATTTTCTACTTCAAAACTAGGTGGTCTCTGTAGGCGTCGCAGTGAACATAAAGATGTCCCCGGCCCCTCCGCAGACACTCTGCTGCACCTATTCCAAATTGTAGGTGACCGCAGACAAGGCCGCAGATAGGAGGCCGGCTTATTTTGTTTTTATGACCGAAATTGTGGAAAACAACTCGTGAAGTTGGACCAGCTAGAAGAGTGAGGTGTGCAAGAACGCAGGGACCCTTTTCCCACCTTGATCCCCGCTATTTTTCACCGTCATGTCCCTCCGTTGTCGGACAAACTCACCCCCAATTTCCTCACCGCCTCGGCCGTATCTAGACCCAAGGCTGCATCTCCACCTGAGGTGGATGTTCAGTCCCTCTGCTTTGGAAGCATGTAAAGAAACTGTAAAATGTCTCCTTCAAAATCAACAGGATGATTCTTGGAACTGTTCAGTCATTTCTTTTATCAAGTTTTTATCAGTTTTGAATAGCTCCCCATCTGTACATTGGGATTGAGTGATTCATAATCATTGTTATTTTTCACATTCCCTTATATTTGTTGTTGTCTCCATGTATTTCCATGATTGTTTACCCTCTTTGAAATAGCTAGCAGTGAATAGACATCAGGATTCCACTAAATGACTCTTGGTCATAATGGAAATGTATTGAGCATATGAGGAATACATGAACTCTAATGTTATATCAGTGTTTAAACCCTTAAGGAAATAAAGCTTGTCCAAGCTTCAGCAACAGCTCAACATATATTCCTGTAGCATAGCATAGCACGCAGTCTATTCTGTTAGCGTTGTCTTTACTCATCAGTAAACACATGTTGTTTGTTCTGTCCTTAATTATTCCAGACCTGCAAACCTTTTTGTCCATGTCCATTTGGAAGGTTTAGTTTTCATCCAGCTGGAGTTTAGCAGGCAGGCCACAGCAAGGCAGGCTATCTCTCTTTCCCAAAGGCTCACAGTAGGGGTCCTCTTTGTCACAGTGGTTCATAAAGGCAGGCCTTCTTTCCAGCCTGGCTCTATAAGTTATGAAACTCAAGAGAAATGTGTTGCAAAAGGTCTGTTTTACAGCATTTTGGTTCTGAAAGGTCCATGATGAATTATATTTGAAGGTTCTGGAGATCTGGGCTCCTCCTGGGCCTTGGATCTCCACTGTGGTGATTTTGTCTGTCCTCACACAGAGGGGGGTGGTTGGTCACACCTCTGTGGGATGCCACGTGACTTGCCTGTGGAGGCCTTGGCTGAAATGGGGAGTTGCAGTTGTTTCTTCACCAAAGCTGCGGCTACTTCTCTGGTCATCATGTCAAGATGGAACATGGACACTGGTTCCCAATGTCTAAGAACCATGATCATGGCATATGGCACAACAGGAGTTCGATTCATGTTAGGCAAACACAGTGTCCTGTTTATTTTTTTATTTGCTTTAATAAAGGTGCTTTATGACTTTATTTATTCTATAATTAGGAAAAACTTGTATTGTGCCTAAGCAGTGGAGGATGATAAATTCAAAATACTTTTTTTTGCAAGTTATGCTCTAAATTGAAATTATTTTAAAGAAGTTTTGTTATAATGACTCAGCTATTTCACAGTGGATGTTAATTATTATTTTATTAGAAGCTGATTTCCTCAAAAATCATAGATGAAAGGTTAAAAGACTTGTAACAGACTTTTTAGACAGGTTTTTCACTCAATGTGTCATTTCTGTTTTGCCAGAAGCTAATTCTCAAATATGCATTAAAACTGTAAAACGTGTCTTTTTAGAAACAAAACAAGGAGTTGATCAGTACATCCTCATAGACAAGGCAATGGACTGGCTGGATTCTCGAGATCTCTGCAGAAAGAAATACACAGACCTGGTCAGCTTGAGGAATGATGAGGAGTATGAGATTGTTCAGAATATGTCTCAGGGAAAGGATTTGTTTGTCGGCCTCTTCAGAGACTCATGGGAATGGTCAGACATGTCAGACTCCTCATTTAGGTACTGGCGGTATCGACAAGAGTATATTCGTAAAAGTTCAGAGGACTGTGTTGCTCTTTTAAAGACGCAATCTGGTAAATGGGGATCTAAGATATGTACAGAAGCACATCCATTCCTCTGTAAATGCAGTAAGTACTTCTTTTCTTGTTTCTGTTTGCAAGTTTTAACCATTCACCTTTTGTACATTCTTGCAAATTCAGTTGCTTATAAAGGTGATTTAAAACCAGCTTCAGCTGAGAATTAACCTTAAATATAACTCTGGAGAGGAGACTTAAGATCAGCCATCAATGCAGAAATTATTTCTTTTTTCCCTTCTATTCTATCTCAGATGTCTTAAAATACCCGTTATATTGGAGTTATCATAATGCAGAAGTATTGAGCAACCTTAGTGTTGTTTTTGGCCATATTTCCTCTGTTAAGGTGACAGTTATCAACCCAGTCTTTTAAGAACTTGTTTTCTTGATGCAAACTCATCATCTCAAACTATTATTACAACTTTATTTAGTTAACAATATTTAACTACTTTAGGTTCAAATCTATGCTATGGAGAAGTAAAAATAAGGTGTTTTTCCTTTTTTGCTCTGTTGAAGAAAACAACCTGCGGTTCATAAAACTGAGAATCAGCCAAAGTGGCTCAACATTGGATCTAAATGACCGTGCAGTGCAAAACAGCATCTTGGAGCAAGTAAGTCTTTAGACTCATCTGTTTAATCATC